CAACAACGCAAGTACACCCTTCCATCACAAGCACTCCACTACACACACACACACACACACACACACACACACACACAGTGCACACAGAATGCACTGGGCTCCCAGGGCCACTCTGTAGGACACAGGCTAACATTCCCTTAGACTGAGGCGTTAGAGGCGGGCCTGTTTCATCCTGCTCAGTCGCTGTTTGGGGGGTTGGAAAGAGGTATGTGTTCCGAAAAACAATGCCCACTATAAAATCTCACGGGTACCTGTGCTTTTTCATCTCTAAGTGGAAATTCCATTTCTGTTGTTCACCCGTTTCGGGTTCACACATCTCTGTAATTCCTTCTGCTTCCAAGACGAGCTTCTCTTTCAGTTTGAGCAAGTAACAGTAACATGCCAGAACCGGCAACACCTTCAAAAAACCCCAGTGTTAAAAAACACCTCACAGGGGTGGTAAGCCTTTTGGGGAAGAGAGAGAAGAAAAGATAAATAGAAGATTATCTGACATATTTTTTGAGTACCCCTCTCCAAAGTCATTTTGAGCATCTGATTAATCTAATCAGAGTATATATTTGAAATAAAAATCAAAAGCGCCGAGTTTTCCATAGAAAAAAGGATTCCCACTGCACTCTTCACCTGGAGGCATCGGTGGATTAGCAGTCTTCAGGGAGTGAGTCCTGCTGATTTTCTGGGAAGTGCTCCAGGTTTCCAAAAGGCAAGCGCATGCAGCCCCTTAGCGGGGAGATGCTGTGAATGCAGGGGCGCTTGTTCGTGGAGAACGCGCATCATCAAGTACTTTTAGCACCAAGGCATCTACAAATTTATTTTGAGTGTTGCAAAAGCGGGGTTTCCTCCCCTTAACAGACTCTTCCTAGGCCTGAGAGGAGGGCAAACCGAAATGCTCTAAACCTCTTCAGACAGACAGAGATGGGATTCCAGTAAGAAGTCTCTGGAGGCATCCTGGAAGTTGGCGAGGAGAGAGAAGGCAGAGAAAATAAAGTGCGGAGAGCTGACATCGCTGTCTGCCAGGTAGCGCGCTTCTGACGACAGGATGAAGCAGGAAACACGGCCGAGGCTGCCTGCAGGCCTGGGTACCAGAATTGGTCAACATGCAGTCTAGGCAATCCAGGGATTTTACAGTATTTGGATATCCACCTACTTGCAATATGCAGTATGCACCTGTACATCAATAGAGATTCATGTCTCTGTGCCATCTGTGATGTTTTCAGGACACACAAAATCACACCATGTGGCCACCACCACTCCACGCAAGGGTTTGCCTGTTACTCATGCAACTGTTGGAGAATTCTTAATATATTCCCAGTCGGGTCCACCCGGACTAGGGAGCTTCTCTTTGGCACATGCCTGGTTGCTACAGAACAGGCGCCCATGAGAAAAGTTCTGGTTCTAATTCCACTGAAGAACTCCAGGTGAACTACAGACTCGGGAAGAATGTTCCTCATGGTTGCTGAGAATGCAACACCCGCCTGCCCCCCAGGATGCTGCCTGTGGTCACCATGACTACTAGGGTCACCTGCCGGGGTCAAGGAGTTGGATTTCACTTTGTATTGGGTCATCGAAAATCTTTCCTAAAGAAATGGAAAAAGGCGAGTGGAAATCTTAAGATTCTGAAAGAAGCTTAACCTCATAAAGAGTAGAAATGAAAACCTACAGTAGGTGCCAGGACTGTAAAGTCACATGGCCCCATTAATAACAAACACAGAAGACAGTATAGACCAGCGGTTCTCAACCTTCCTCATGCCACGACCCTTTCATCCAGTTCCTCATGTTGTAGTGACCCCACCAGCCAAACAATTATTTTCATTGCTCCTTCATAACTGTCATTTTGCTACTGTTATGAATCGGGCCACCCCTGTGAAAGGGTCGTTCAACCCCCAAGGGGGTGGCAACCCACAGGTTGAGAACCGCTGGTATAGACACAATTCAGTGGAGGCATCTGCAAAATTGTCACTTCCATTGGCGATACAATACTCCAGTGATGCTCCCAGTGCCCAAAGCACTCGTGCAACAGCTCTTAACTAGAACGAAGCCCAATATTTCACTCCCCCCTTGGTTTTTCACTACTGAGTCTCCATCCCCCAAACACATGAAAGACACACCTATGCTTTATAAGGATGGGCTGCTTGAGGGTGTACAACATTGACATTGTAGGGTACATTGCAAACCAACTTATTTTAGTCTCGGGCTAGCCATGTCAAAGAGATTCCAGTAGTATCAGCTGGCAACTGCCTAAGTGCCTGACAGGTAACAGGTGCCCGGTCAAAGTAAGGATGGCTGATAAAGTTAAAGGAAGGGGATTTCTATAATGACACCTGGTAGGCCCATTATTTCCCTGCCCTGGAGTTCTGAGCGCGTCTCCTTTTCAAAATATACTACCCAAGGAGAGAGAAATTCTAAGTATGTTGGAACACACACTTTAAGCTATTAAAAAAACAAAGAGTGCTATTGTCATAAAAATTCTCTCGATGCTGTTTCATGATGACCAGAGAAAAATGGACGGCACCCCTCCTCGACATATACATGTCTCAAGCACCACCACCTAAGGAAAGGTTCTCTTTTGAAGGAGCCCTGGACTCATCGTAGAGCCAAAGAGAAGCCCGAGGCCTGGAGCAGACAGTCAATCCCCGTCAGTAGTTGCCCCATGGACAGACGGAAATGCAATGACAATCATCAGTGGTTTCTGAGAGACTGCTCACCTTGAGAGGCAGGCCCAAAAGCCAAAGGGAAGTCTTTGTCCCCTAACACCACTGGCTCCACCTGCTGGACACACTATTTGGTCTAAGAGCAAGAACCATCTCCACACCCTGCATTCAAGCAAGGGAACCATTGAGCCCAAATCACTCCCAGACCGAGAGGGAAACCACTCTGGACCAGGAATATTCCTAAGATTCCACCAGTGCAGCCAAACCTGGAGGGAAAAAGCCTGGGTCATGAGACAGTCTCCATAACTTCCCATCTGGGAAACAAGACCCAAACTGGACTCTGACTCATAGAGACACTGCAGGACAGAGTAGGAACTGGCCCCTGTAGGATTCTGAGACAGTAAATCTCTATGGGAGTAGTCGGCCTCATCTTTCTCCCCACAGCAAACCTGCGTCCATCAGGGCCGGCTCACGGCGACTCTGTTTGTCAGAGTAGAACTGTGCACCGCAGTGTTTTCCATGACTGCTTTTTTCTCAGAAGTACATCACTGGGCCTTTCTTCTAGAGCACCTGTGGATGAACACAAACCTCCCAACTTCTGGTTAACAGTCAAGCAGGTAACTGTTGGCAGCACCCAAGGAGGCCCACCTCCATCCAGGGAAGAATATACACCAGCCAACGAGACCATTTCCAAATGGTTGCTCGTTTCCCTGGACTTGGCCTCTGACTCACGGTGATGCTAGGAACAACAGAACAACCTGTTACCCCGCCCTGGTCCCTCTTCACAATCTCTCTCCCACATTAGCTCCACCTCCCACGGGTTCTGCGGTAGAAAGAGGTCACAGCCACACTGCGGTGGAGCCTTCCAGTTCCTCCAATCCCAACTCTGAAGGTCATGTCCTTTTTTCCTAAGCAGCCAGATCTCATGGGTTCACTTGATTTCATCATCTATCGGACCCAGGGAGAGAGCATGCAATCGGTGACAAGATGAATGGTGAGCTCAGACCACACTCAGAAACAGGAAAGTCCCCTCTCCGGGCCACTTCAGGTATGTCACCATGGAAAAGAAGTAAGAGCAGGAACGGTATTCCAACGCCCATCAACTAGGATTCCATTGGATGGACTGGTTTTATTTGAAATCATTCCCCACCCTTTGTTGGGTTCTTCTTCTCGGTCCAGTGGACAGACCTCACTCCACCTCTATCTAAAGTGATTGTCACACCCCAAGTACAGTTGTCCTGAATGACTCTCTCAATTGCAGGAGTGAGTACAGCAATTTTTAACACAGGAAACAAAACTAAACCAACCAACCAACCAACTGAAGACCCATTTGCCGTGGCTTCCGAGTAGATAGCAAGAATGACCCCGTGGGTCTCAAAGTCCCTTATCTGACATTTCTTTTTGCTTCTGCTTTTGAGGGTTCTGGTTGCAATTCTTCACCATCAGAATGTGGGCCCGAACGAGCTCATTTCCTTGGGTGGGGAAGCCATCTTCTTCTCCTATCATGCAGTTCAAGTCACAGTGTCTAGCCTTATCATTTAGAATACTAGATTCAAAGCCCCTTTTAGAGAATACTGGGGTTGATTTTCAAGCAATTAGACTTGAGATTCAGCAGCTTCTTGAACTACCTTAAGATGGGGCATGTGGACTGAAAAGACGTCTTATGAAAAGACGTCGTTGTTCCGTTAACCAAGCTATGCATACGGTTCCTTAGAAGCACTGAAAAGGATTCTACCTGCATTAGAACTCTCTGATGGCTTGAAACGCCGTGAACACTCCTTTTAGAAACGTTTCACTTCCTCTTAAAAAACCAAACAAAACCATCTTGCCAGCGTGCGCCTCTGGAGCACACGGATCGCGCTGCACTTGGGTCTTTCCAATCAAGTTGCATAGTTGAGGCAAATTCATTTGTGCTTTGTCATAGAACTCAGTAGGTGCTCATCTCTGAAAAGTGTGATTTGTCAAAGCAAAGTCATGGCCAAGCTCACCTGTGCTTGAAGTCTATGCTAATGATATGCACAGCCCTCGCCTTTCCCATGATTCCGCTAACCAGGTACCTCAGCCTTACACCTCCTCAGAGCCTGAGCATCCAGTTCACAGAGTGGCAATGGTAACACATTTATCTAAAGTCCTCCTTCTGGGAGAGAAGGGGTGGGTGGGTCGGAGGGGAAAGGCTCTCAGGAGTCTCGTTGAGGTATCCAGCCCTCAGTCAGTGGTGGCTGTTGATGCTGAGTTTTGTTGGTTTGAGGATTGTGTCTTTAGAGGTTAAAAAAGAAAGGAGAGAAGGCACGGGTGTTTCGCAAGTCGCCATGTCAACTCAACCCACAGAATGGAGTCTTGCCTTGCCAAGCTTCAGGAGAGAGGTGAGCTGGCCGTCGGGTTCTCGTGCAGCCGCTGGTCGCCCGAGGAGCTTGCTGCTTCGCGGAAGGGCCCGGGAAAGGTCCGCGCTGGGCCCCGGACCCCTTTTTGCAGACCGGACTCTTCCTGGAAGTCCCCCGGGAGGCTGAAGGCCGGGCAGGACCGCGTCCGGGCCGAGCCGCCACGGGGAGGGGGGCCGCAGCCCACCGCCTCGCTCACGGTGCTCAGATGGACGTCCCGCCACCGCCGCCTCTGCAGCGCAGCCTCCTTGTATTTCATGGAGTACCAGGCCAGAAAAATGAAAATGAAGCCCACAAACTTGAGGCCGGCCGCCAAGCCGAAATAGACAAAGCGCAAGGACGTCACGTTGTACTCCCAGCAGGACCCTTGCACGCCGCACTCGTGCTGCCACAGCATGCAGGTGGTGTCGATGACCGCTCCGAAGTAAATCGGAGTGGGGATGTAGGCTGCGGGGGGGGGGGAACAAAGCAAAACAGAAACCGTTAGCACGTGGACACCTAGAGAAAGGAGCCCTGGTGGTGTCGGTTGTTGGGCGTCTCGCCCCAGGTCAGCAGTTCGAACACACCAGCCACTCTGTGGACGTGAGAAGAGGCTTTCTGCTCCAGTAGAGATTTATAGCCTGGGAAACCCACAGGGGCGGGTCTACCCTGGCCTGGGCAGGGGCTATAGATGTTGAACGCAGATTTGTAAGGGAGAAAGGTACTTGTTTGCCTCCCCCAATCCAACCGAACCCCTGACTGCTGGGTCGAGGCCCATCCATGGAGACCCAAGAGTTTGCAGAAGAGAATCACTTAGCTGTCATCTTTGCAGAACACCGGCCCGTTTTTTCTGCGGTCCTGGAGGCTGGAACCGAACTACCAACCTTCACATGAATTGTTGAGCACACACAGAGTATGCCACCCTGGGACCTTGAAATCCGTGAGGGGGAGTAATTTCCTCACATAAATTAAGCGTGTGTGTGTGTGTGTGTGTGTGTGTGTGTGTGTGTGTGTATGTTCACAAACTTCATGGGAAAATCCCATGATCTATCTGTTCATTCCACTTTCTCTTGAGCTTTCTCAAGGGCCCTCCTCTGCCATAGCTGAATTAAAATCTCTGTTATGAAAGTATTCACAAAACTGTAAATAATTCAAGCCCTTTCAGCTGACCACGCAGAATGTCTTATTGACTTTTCTTTCAGGATTATAAAAACGTCTACTGCTAAAAAGGCAATTAGGCCATCCTTTTCCAATGAAGAAGTCGGCGTTTGAGGCTAAACTCTCAAGAGGCTACACTGAGGCCTTTTATTCTCTACCAAGACTCAATATACTTAGTGCTAGTGGGCCCTTGTCCAGTCCCTGACTGTAGGGCAGTGACGAGGAAAGGTTCTCCTCTTTGCGTTAGAGGCCACATCAGATGACAATGGTCCAAAGGCACTCGGGGGTATAAAGTTAACCACTGCATCAAATTCATCCCACAAAGTTTGTGAAGCACCAGGGATAAGAAGTCGCATTATCACTGGGCTAGGACATAAACAATTCTGTGTTCCTACAGAAAAAAGAAGTAGACTTAACTAGGATTCCTTCATTGTTTTCTACTCCCTTTGCCCCATGCTCAACTTGCACCCCAAGAACAAATAGCCCTTGTTCACTGCTATGGAGTCAGGGCAAGCTGAATTCATGCCCAGTGGACTCACACACTGCCGGGTCCTGCACCATCCCCTTGATCCAGGATGGACCAATAGACCATTGTGACCCATAAGGTTTTTTGTTTATTTTAAGTAGGTCACCAGCCTTTATTCCTCGTCTGTCTTCATCTGGAACAGCGGTTCTCAACCTTTCTCATGCCGCGGCCCTTTCATACAGTGCCGCATGTGGTGGTGACCTCCCAACATAACATTATTTTCGTTGCTACTTCATCACTGTAATTTTGCTACTGTTATGAATCGGACGACCCCTGTGAAAGGGTCGTATGATCCCCAAAGGGGTCGTGATCCACAGGTTGAGAACCGCTGATCTGGAAGCTCTCCTGAAGCCTGTTCAGCTTCACAGCCACCTACAAGCTTCCACTGACGTGTAAGTGGTGGCTGAGTGTGAGATGCACCGGCCACGAATCAAACCCTGGTCTCCTGTGTGGAAGGCAGAAGCTATTGGCAAATAGCTTCATAACCCCCATAACCTCCTCAACGGCATTGGCTGCAGCTTTTATTCTTTGCACGCTAGGAGCCAATATATCAGGACAGTCCCGAAGCCGCAATAAAAGTTTCTAGAAAGAAGTGAAGGAGTGGGGTGGGGTGGGGAGGTGGAGGGAAGAGGGAAGTAAAGGCGGGGTGGAGGAAAGGCTAACCGTCCAGGACACCATGACTGTTGCATTTTTAAAGAAGTTGTGTGTATTTAAGTTGTGTGTGATCTATTCCCTACGAAAGCTCTCTTTTTTTTTTTTTCCGTTTGAGTCTGGAAAATGGAAACTCGCTTGTTTGGGCCTAACTATAGTTTTTCACAATCAATAGAGCTTAATGATAAGACTGAATGAAGTGATCCATGCTGCAGCGTTTTGGTCTCACTGAAGCTTGATGCTGCAGTGGCCAGCTGCCGAATGACTTTTACAAACTCCGTGTCCGCATCAGATAACCCACTCCACAGCTGCAGAGAGAAGCACAGGAAAGAGAAAGGACTGGCCGTTGGTTTTCTTTTCCTACTTAACCATCTCTTTAGCATCTACAATGCTTCCACGAAAAGAGCACCTTTCAGTGTCCAAAGAGAAGTCAAAGATCAATGTATACACTTTCTATGTCAGAATGTTATTGATTCATCTTTTTTTTTTTTAACTAGATGACTGCTTAAAATGTTACCACAAAAGTAATTTCAGTACTCCTCCAAAAAGCTACCCACTGAATGGAACTAGAAGCCACTGGTGCTCAGTGCAAAGGGTTTGTTCGCCGGCCGAGCCATGCACCACAACAAATGACAAGCTGAGAAGTCCAGAGAGGGTGGCGGTGTCAAAGGGTGGAATAATGCCTCAGAAAGAAAGAGAGAAACACTAATGAGGAGGAAGTTGACATTCTCATCATACACCAAACGTGTGTACCCATGTATGTATGTACACTAAATGTACAAAAAATACACTGAAACTGGTCAAAGGAATGGCTACTTCACATTCCTTGTTTCCACGGACTGCCCCAAGACATCACAAGCTGATGGGGTGTGTGTAAAACTCGTGCACACATACACCAACCTTGTGGTTCACCATGCTGACGGTGGCAAGGAGTCGCTCTCGTTAGTAAGTAAAAAGCCTACGACGGCAGTCCCAATATTAATTAGGATCTCCCTTTAAAAAACAGAACAAAACAAAACAAAAAACATTTGACTAAAGGTTCTTTTCCTCGGAAAACGAACTGACCGGGGTATTGTTTACCCAGTCCAATAAACTGAGGCTTATCTAAGGGATGGCAGGGATGACGTGCTCAGGGTGCCACTTGGGGGCGCCTCTGAGAGGTTTCTATAAGCCATCGCAGCTGCCTCCACAGGGCAGGGCAGATTGCCCTGCTCAGGGTAGAAAGAGACCCACCTCTCTATGACCACAAAGCCGATTCTATCCCATACTCCCTGCCACGGAGTCAATGCCTATAGCGACCCTATGGGACCGGGCAAAACTGCTCCTATGCGTTTCCGAGATTGTAACTATTTATGGGAGTAGGAAGCCCGTCTTTCTGCAGATTAGTGACCCTATAAAGCAGGGTAGAACAACCACTTAAGAGTTCAGAGACTGTAAATCTTTATGGGAGCAGACTGCCTCCTCTTTCTTTCAAGGAGCGACTCGTGGGTTTGAACTGCCGACCTCCTGGTTAGAAGTCCAACACTTAAACCACAGTACCATCAGGGTTCCTTGTAGGAAGAACCAACCAGAGGGGATTTTAAAAAAAAGGCGTTGAGTATATCATAAAACAATTTTCATCAGTGAAAGGAAGGAAGGTGCCATTGTCATTTCCATGTCATGTCCAAATGTGTAAAGTATGAGATGAATGGGCTCGATTGTAATTCTGGGCAGATAGATGGTAATGTTCTCTAAAAGGTAGTGGTTGGAAGTTTGGGCAGGGTCGCAATTTCAGTACTTGTCCTACAGGCTCTTTTCCATAAACAGTCCAATAAAGTTACCACGAACACCGACACATTGTTGCCAAGTCCATGCCAACCCATGGTGACCCCATGCTTGCCAGAGTAGAACTGTATGCCAGAGTTCTCAATGGCTGATTGCTTTTGGAAGTAGAGTGCCAGGCCTTTCTTCTGAGGTACAGCGGGGTTGACTTGAACCGCTAACGTTTCAGTCAGTAGCCAAGTGCGTCAGTGATATACACCACCCAGGGAGTGCTCAAATTAGTATAAAGAAGTAAGGAATGGAAATTTGCACACATAAAACGAGAACCAATTCCCATGCCTCTCTTGTTAAAAGGCATAAAGGCCCCAAAGCTTCAGGAGAATACGCCCACGACAACTGACCTGCTTCAGAATGTTCTTACTGTGGAAGGCTTTCTGGTGGAATTTAGCCCAATTGAATGTTCATCATGAAAAAGAAACAAACGACCGTACAGATGGTTTCGTTTGCTTCATCAAATGACAACTGCTCGGCTTTCAACTCGAGTCAAAAAATGGGGAAGGTATGCCTTCCCCACTGACCTGTCAAATTCCAGCTACTCACGGTCCTGCAGGGCTCAGCCTGCCCCTTGCCAAGGACAGGGAGCATCTGCCATCTTCCAGGAGGAACTGAAAGGCACACTGGGAAGTTCAGGGACCTACCAAGTGTTCGCAGCAAAACAAACTGCATTCCCAGCGCGAAGGGCCTTTCCTCATCTTCCACGGACCTACGGGAGAAAACGGGGGAACAAAAGAAACATTTTTTTGAGTAACGGCACTAAGAAAATGAAGGTCCACTCAAGCCAACCAGAGAGATGCTGTGCAGAATCTTTAATTCACTAAAACTTACTAACGACAACCAGGCAAAACTGCGAATGGCTGAAGAAAGGTCTCCCCGTGAAAGACACTAACAAAAAGCTGATGCCCTCCAATGGCTCCGTGTCCACACGGCGGATGGTCAGAAACAGGACCAGGCTGGTTGGCTGAAGAGACAGAAGTGGCCCCGACTGAGCTTCCAAAATTGGTTCTACTTCAAAAATGTCCATTTCTATAATGTTATCCATTATACTGCATCCTTCTGCTTGGTTGGCCTGTGTTTTCTAGGATGCTAAATAGGCACACTGAAATTACTCCCATAATTCCTCAAAAGATAGGAAAATGTAAATTTTTAAAAATCTACGAAGTCAAAAACAGGCACTAAGGAAACAAACAAATGCCAGAGAAAGAATTGGGCCCCACCAGCCATGACAGGCTTCTTCCACTCCTAGAACCCATGCTCCAAGCCATTCCTGGACCACAGGAAGAGAGGGTGGTGGTGGACTGACTTCATGATGACCCAGTTCCCCCCTCCCCCACCCCAGCCCCCCCTGAAGTTCTGGGGCAGCTGCTCGCTGGTGGCTTTGTCATGTCTAGGTACGACAAAATGGGAAACCCCTTGCTGTTTGACTTCTTTTTTTTTAGCCAGACTAGAAAGCTCATGGAATTAAATCATTAAGGTGAGTAAGTTTACTGAAGAGAGATCTTTCTTAATCATGAAGTAGCTCATCTTTACTATCCTGCACACGCAGGGTGCATGATGGGAAATCCCCGGGTCGGCCCCTTGCCTTCTTAGCTCAACTTCTTTATTGCTCATAGCCAGTTGCGTAGTTGTTACGCCACATGCACAATGCTGACTGAGCCAGTGAGTGAAGGAGCCAATGGGACTTTCTGGTACTGTTTTCTTACAGTCAAGGATGGCTTTGCTTGGAACCGTCTAACTGGGCACCCAATCAAAGAGGAGCCCGAGGTGTACAATAATAGCCACATTCATGGTTTTAAAAGCAATGAGGCCATATTCAGCCAGGTGTTCAGCACCTGAGTTCTAAGAAGCCAGGGAATAAATAAGAAGGGAGAATGAGAAGGGCTTCCTTTACTTAGTCCCTCATTGCACGGTGCTCTATCCTTCCCCACCACCCCATAAAACAAAACAAAGCAAAATAAAAAACCAACTACCACCCCGTTGATTGCTAATCAGAGTGAGGCTATAAATCAATACAAGAACAGATAGCCTCAGCTCTCTCCCTCGGAACTACTGGTAGGTTTGAACCACCTACTCTGTAGTTAGTAGTCTAACACTTATCGGGATACCATGACCAGAGTTCCTGTTCAGTGTTCCCCTAAAGCTGCCACGCATGTTCTCTGCCTTCCTTTATCGGCTACAGTCTTTACTGCAAATACCAACACACTGAGTTTGACTATTTTGAGTTTGAATGTTCTGGTGTCAGTATTTTTAATAGAATCAAGGTACTCACATTGGATGTCATGTATAAACAAGCAGCACACAGAACAAGATATGTAGCTAATATGACAAAGAACATACAGCGTGAACTGAAAACAAATTCATTTCCCAGTGTACCCTCTCTTTCACTCAACTCCAAATTTTAAGTGAGAGTCAAATTCATGGCATCAGCATGGTGACCTGCAGGCCCAGCCTCAATGGCCAATGCTCCCGGGGCTCCAGAAGATGTTTTTCTTTCCCTCACGCACAATTCAGGTGCCTCCGCTGGGGCCCGACTTCTAGCTAACATCTAGCTTTCAGCCCTTGCAGGTGAAACTCTTAGTCAAGACCTTCAGGAACCAAAAGTATGCGGAAGATAGGTCAGTCAACAAATGACTAGAATTCAACCGGGTACAGAAAGTTCTGGAGAACTTTTGTTTCCCCTGACCCGAGTTAGACAAAACTCATGACTCCTAAGTTTCCCAGACAAATGTCTAAACCCTCATAGAGTCCAATTTTGTTTTCCTCGATGTTGTATGCATCCATTCTTCATCCCAAATCTAAGTCTATCTAACCCCCTCCCCCCTCCCCTAAGTTGAGTTCTCACCTGAGTGTAACTATGATGGCTGATGGCTGGGCACAGGCTGTGATGAAGGTGACGATGAAAAGAAAGATTAAGAACGGGATCAGGGTGCTGCAGCTCCGTTTACACTTCCCAGACACGGCATAGCCATTTTCATTGAGATAGGTTTTGACAATAACCACCCGGAGCTGACCGCGCTGTCCCACTGTGGGTGGAGTGATCACTTGTCGGCTCTGGACACAGGTGCATTCCGTATAATTCCTTATCTAAGTGGACAAAATAAAGTTCTGTTGCATGCTATTCAGTAGCAAAATCGGACATAGCAACATGAAGGCAAATGCATTAAGAATGCTTTATTGACTATCATTTTAATGGAAAAATGTTTTTAATCTTCCCCGTTTAAAACAAGGCTGCGTTCTCTTATGAACATGCAATGCCCTATTGTCAAGGCACAACTTCTTTGTAGGATAAATATGAAGTCCAAGGTGATTGAGTAGCTTTTACACAACAGGGACAAGACAGATGTGATGGATCCATTTACCAAAACATAATGGAACACATCTTTCAAATTCAACAAGGTCTGAAATGCACGATTATGGTTTCTACCTAGGACCAATGTAACATATAGAGAGGTAGTTACAGGTAGAATAAACCAAATCACTCTTATTTTCCACCTAAGCCTGTTTTCCTCAGGCATCTCGGCACGAGGAGCACTGCGTATTTCCTCTCCCTGGGGACTAGCCTGGCACTCCAGCTTGCTTCCCTTAGGTGATCACAGCGAGTTCCCACCATGGAAAACTGTGTTTAAATTAATTTCAGTCTTAAAAGAAATACAAAAACATTTCCCTGAAAATGCCTTCCTCTTTGCAAAGAGCAAGATCCCTTCGTTTATTACAAAATTTTAAGCCTAAACTTTTCTGAGAAACGTTCACAACTCCATTCCGTAACATTTGCATCCTAAGCTCTCATTCTTGTTCATTGTCATCTGTTGGCTTGGCTGCCGCTTGAGTCTTGAACTCTGCAATCCGAGCACTCACTCCAAACAGGAAGCAAGTCCTGGTCCTTTATTTTGATTGAACAAAGCATCTAATCCAACCATGTAATGGAGTAGGCCCTCCAGTCAAGGGCTGTATGATAAATGGAGAAACCTTGCAAACATCATGCTGAAGGAAATTGGTCATTCACTGTAGGACAGATCTTGTCCGTCTCCTCTAACAGTGGTTCTCAACCTTCCTAATGCCGTGACCCTTTAACACATGTCCTTATGTTGTGGTGACCCGCCAACCACACAATTGTTTTCGTTGCTACTTCACAACTGTAATTTTGCTGCTGTTATGAATCGGGTGGGTGAGCCCTGTGAAAGGGTCATTTGACCACCGAAGGGGTCGCGACCCACGGGTTGAGAACCGCTGCTCTACCATGAAATATCTAGAACACAAAATATTTAGAATAGTATACACAGCTAAGTTTAGTGGTCTCCAAGGCAGGGGGGGAAGAGAGGGCAGAGAGAAGGGGGACTCGTTGCTTGGGGGACACTGAGCTTCTCTTAAAGGTGCTGGAAAATTTGGACGCAGACAATGATGATGTTGCAGCACATGATGGACACAGGTGATGTCACCAAACTGTACTTGAGGAAGGTAGGAATGGAAAATGCTTTGCTACACATATCATTATCACAGTTAAAACTATATATTATGAATGCTCCATATATATATATGGAGCATTCATAATGCAAACATCATGACTTCTATACCAACAGCAGAAATCATCCATTGGCTATCCCATTTTTATTTTATTTTCATTTTTTATTCATCGTTTTATTGGTAGGCTTTTACAAATCTTATAACATGCCATCATTCGATTGTATGAAGCACACTTGTACATATGGTGCCATCAACATTTCCAAAAGGCTGTTCCATTTTAAATGCCTTTTTGAGCCCTTTGATTAGCTGGTGAGCTGGGTCCTAGGCAGGAATAAACCACTCATGGATGGAAATTAAGTCAGGCTGCTGGGGCCCAGAGCAGGGCAGCTCCCGGACTTTGACAAAGACAGGCCGCCTGGAAGTACCCATCCGCCCCATTTACTTGGCTACTTTTTCCAAAAAATTAGTATGAGTCGTGCTACTGTGTCAAGTATTGTCCTCGGGTACTGTGGACACAGAAGCGCTAACGAGACAACCTCTTCTTTGTAAACTGCCCAAATTTCTACTTGAAGCAACAAGGACAGATACTGGGTACAGAATGGAGAACCAGCAACAGGAGTTCCCTTTTACCACAGTTTAAAACTCAGAAATAAAACGTGACACTCCCTAAACGTGGTAAATGGCACACACCCTTTTCACTTGGACCAAAAAAGCAAAATTATTTCAGGTTTTGAATTAAAAGTCTCTTGCAATCTGTTCTAACAAAAAGAATCAGACCAGTATCAATAATGGTCAGAGTCTAATGTGAAAACCTTTTCCCACAGTCTTACAGACTATTTATAATTCACATTGAAGGGATTTCTCAAAATAGCCTATTCGTGAACTGACAGAAATGTCTTTACTCTGAAAGTTAGTGGGGGTAAAAAAAAAAAAAGTCTGATCTGATAGTCTTTGAAAAATAGCCCCCGCCCATCTCCACAGCCTCCTTTCTCAGGAGGCACTATTCTTGTCTGCTCTATCGATACCACACACGGTGGCCAGCAAGCTGGCCTTCAACTCCATCGCCCAGGTCCTGTCAGGGTAACCAATGGGAGGCCAGTGTTCAACCTGATCAAGTTTCACCGAATTGGCACAGAATGACGGCAGATGTGGAAAGAAACTGTTATGCCCAAGTGCTCTAATCAACCCTGGGATGCAAATGAAAGTATTGCCCGATTCTCTTTCCTCGGGGTATTGTCAGAAGGCTATTTCAAAGCAGAGCGTGAAGTCATCGTGGTTGCATATGAGTTTCCACCTGGCCTTGCCACCGGATGTTGGATTGACAAGGGAACGCGGATTTCTAAAACAGACTCACCCCGGTGCTCAGGTTACCGCTGTTAGCACAGCCAGCCAGACATGGGTTAAAGTACGTGATTCCATCTGATCCACAGACTGGCTCGTACTCATGTATTTTACAACCACAATTCACATTGCAGCTTCCGGTCAGATTCCTATGCGGCATGGTGAGGGAAGGTCTACGAGAGAACAGAAGAAAGTCACAGGCAACATTGATTAAAATAAAACTAATAGGACCGGCCTTGATAATTAGTCATTGGTCCTTATTGGAGTAAGATAGTCTCATGATGCCAAAGTAATGGTGTCATAAAACAGCCATTCTAGATAACAGTTGTATTCCTTTAAAAGCAAAATACAAGGAAAAGTACTTCAGTTTTCTGGTAATACAGATTCGATACATTTATTTTTTTTAAAAAGAGAGATCATTTTATTGGGGGCTCTCACAGTTCTTATAAATATCCATACACCAATTGTATCAAGTACATTTGTACATACGTTGCCATCATTGTTTTCTAAACATTTACTTTCTATTTGAGCCCTTAAAACCAGCTATTCTTTTTTCCCTCCCTCCCTCCCCACCTCCCACCTTTATGACCCCTTGATAAATTACAAACTATTATTGTTTTCATATCTTACACTGAGTGCTGCCGCTGTCTCCCTTCACCCATGTTTCTATCGTTCATCTTCCTGGGGGGACGGGGTTATGTGTCAGTCATTTCAACACCTCTCCCCACCTTCCCCCTACCCTCCTGGTATTGCTACTCCCATTTCTGTTCCTCAGGGGTCAGATCTGACCTGGATTCTGTGTGTCAGTGAGCTCTTATCTGTACAGTGTTCATGCTCCGGTCTAGGCTGAAGTGAAAGGCTGGATGGGGGTCATGATAGTGGGGGGTGAGGAAGCCTCAAGGAACCAAAGTCAATATGTCCTTAACAAATAATCTGTTGTCTCAATTCTATCTTTTGCTTAAATGCAATGGACCAAGTCTCATGAGCACTCCATCTCAGGCTAGCAGTCCTAACCCTGTTATAACTGTTCACTCACTGTCGACTCTTAACTATATAAATAATAGTTAAGAGCCTTAATAAAACTGGGCTTCGGTTTCTTCGACTGTAAAATGGAGAGAATACTTTGCCCTGCCAAAGCAACAAGAGCATCACTGTGAAGCAGCAGCACAGGTTGCAAGTCTCCGTTATCAGCACAGGTGCCTTTGATGAAAAATTATAATTGCTCTAGACTAAATTTTGGAAAAAGACCTGGGACCCCAGAAAATCCAAAGGAAATGATGTTCAAAGTGTAGGAATCACATCTCTAGTTTTCTGCAAACCACCTGAGAAGAGAACTTAAGCATGCCTTCATTCCGGACTGCCCAGAGCATAGTCAACTAGTAAACAAGGGCAGGACCCTGGGGGCCAGTCACGGAAGACTGGAAGGGACTCGAGCTCCCTAAGAAGATCTCTTCCTTCTGCTCTTGTGGCCGCCATTCAGATGGTGTTCCCAGAACTGCACTGAGTCGGCCATAGTCGACCTTTTACTTATCCATTCATCCGATAAATCTTTTTGAAGGTTTGTGAAGTCCGGGGGTTTATTCTTGATGACAATGGTGAGTACCTTTATCTAGAATAGCCACACAGCCCACCACAACCATGCACATTAATCTGGAAACGAAAGGGTGCGGTTCAGGGGCTTCTCTCCTGTGGCCTGTGGCAACTGAGTCCTCAACATTCAATGGGAAGAAGAAATTCATAGCAAATTTAAAGCTATGTCAGGGGAGTCTTCTAAAAAGGCAAAAATAAAATAAACTCTGCTCTTGTGACTCCACAAGAGAAAATGTATCACAAGTCTTTAATAATCATTATATGCAAACTTTTAGAACCATACCAGAAATGTCAGAATATACCTTATAGTATTCTAGACCTGTAGGGGCACTTTTACCCCAACCTCGGTGCCCCAGGAGGCATTTTCCTGTCTCAGGAGACATTTAAGTTGTCACCACTGTGGAGGTGGTACTGGTAGCTAGTGAGCAGAGCCCAGTGAGGCTGCGGAACATGCTACAATGCACAGGAAGGACAGCCCCAGCGAGGAACTAACGATCTAGAGCAAACATCAAGGCTAAAAGCCCTACTCTAGAATCTATCGACTAGAGTCTAGACTAGACCTGGTGGCATAGTGGTTACTCACTGGGCTGCTAACTGCAAGGTCAGCAGTCAGAAACCACTAAGCCCCATGGGAGAAAGGCAAAACTTTCTACTCCCGTAGAGTTACAGTCTCGGAAACCCACAGGGGCAGGTCTGCCCTATCCGGTGGGGATGCTATGAGTCAGAATTGGTTCGACGGCTGTGAGAAGGGAAGACGAGACCGTCTACCACATTCTACAGGTGATGCAATGCAGTCCCAGGAAGACCAAGAGATTTTCTCTGAAGTTAATCCATCCATGCTTACTAGGAGCACATAAAAAATATTCGGGCATGCATTACGATTCCCTTCACCAGCACTGCAAGAACTAAGCTGCAAGCCATGACTAATAAAAGGATATTAGGAGTCTTTTAGTCTCCCCAAATGATGAGCCACATCGACATGGTAGTGACTACTGCTGGTTAGAAATTACACCGCATTTCATATTAACAGCATGTTTTGCATTCATTTATGACAGCGACAGATTCCAAATGCCTCCCCTTAAAGGACAGCTTCACTGAAGGAACCAACAGAGAGCAACATCTGTTTCCAGAACCACTGATTGTAAGAAAGCCAAAGTTCCTGAGTTCAAGAAAGCTGGGTATAGTCCTGGGTCATTCTTGGGTACGGTATGCTTCATTTTTCATATTTTTAAAAATGAGATCATGATGTCTAATATGAAGAATTGGGCAAATGTGAAAAACTCTAAAAAAAATCAATTCAGGCAACAAATATAAAGTGCAGCAAAAGGAAGTAGACATGCACACAAAATTCATGAAGGGGGAAGGGGACATTGCACCAAAAACATGCTGACACGGTTGATCTTTTTCATTGTGCTGGTGGAAAAAGCAGCCTTTGGTAACAATACTGATGTTTTGTTTGATTATCACTCACTTTCCGGAAAACAGACTGCCTTATAATAACAGTGCAACTTTAAGCACGAACGCCCAGGTGCTACAAATGGTCCGTGCGCTTGGCTGCTGCTACTTGAAAGGTGGGAGGTTTGAGTCTCTCTAGGGGTGCTTCAGAAGAAAGACCTGGTGACGTCCTTCCAAAACACCGGCCAACGAAAACCCTCTGAGGCACAGTTAGATCAGCCACACCTGGGGCTGCCATGAGTTGGGAGTCAACTAGTCAGTTGGCAACTGGTTTGTCACATTGAGCAACCTCTCTTTGGCTCAAGTGAATCCATCCTGGGCTACCATTGCAGAAAGACCACTGAGCACCACCCCACTCCTTGTGCGAAAGGAATATGGGGTGCCTGTCCAATACCCCAAAGCATTTCTGATGAGGTGGCCCCTCCAGTTAGGACACGTAACGTTAAACTCATGAGTCAAAGAAAGTATTAACTTCAAGTGAGGCACGGCGTCCCCTCACAAATGTCTTACAACTGGTGCAAGCTGCAAGCCAGAGAGGCACATCCAC